TTTCTACTTCACAGATGACATACGCCCTTTTAAGATAAGATCTCTGTCCTCTTCTACATACTGCCCTACTTGGCTAACGAGACATGTTCAGCAAGTATGTGTTCAATGTGGTTTTTAACCTTATGACTGTCAGATTTGATTCACTCTTACCCCAAATGTATTGAGTTTAAAACATCTACATTCCTATCTAGGAATAACTGAAGGTAAGCAATTTGCCTCTGGGATAAGATAATGATATGAAAAATACCTATTCAAAAAGCCAAAAAATATCAATAAATTAATGATTTAAGAGCAAATTTCCTAAAACCCCGAGGATGAGAAGGGAACTATGTTTGGCTGACTCTTCACTCCACATAGCGGTCTAGATTTGTTTCGAACAGTTAGTACAGTTAGTTTCTTTCATATGGACAGGATTAAAGGTACAATTATACAGCTGAAGAGATGGCTCAGTGGCTAAGAGTGTTGGTTTTTCTTCCAGAGAGATCCTGAGTTCAACTCCCAGGATGCATATGGCAGCTCACAACTGTCTACAATTGTAGTCCCATAGGATCCAATGCCTTCTGGTATGCAAACATGCAGACAAAATACCCATACACATAAACAAATAAATCTTTTTAAAAAGATACAAGTATAATCAATTCAAGACACATTTATTAAAAACCAATATACTAAATACTGCTCTTTTGGGCTGTGATCACCAGTATGTTGCAACATTCTGCCTATGATCAGAGGACACAGGGTACATGACTTGTAGGAGGGAGGGAAGACAGCACAGAGATGAAGAGTTTTACTATTTGAACATTAAAGTAGCACAATCTTCAGGTAGAAAAGTAGATGCTGGGGGCTGGAAGGACACCCTCAGGGCTTTTCTTTAAACATAGCGGGATTTTCATTTATTTATTTGTTTGTTTGTTTGTTTATTTATTTGCTGCATATGAGTGCTTTATCCGCATGTACACTTGCATGCCAGAAGAGGGCACCAGATCCCAGGATGGTTGTGAGACACCATGTGGTTGCTGGGAATTGAACTCTGAAAAAGCAGACAGTGCTCTTGAACTGCTGAGCCATCTCTTAAGCACCAATGGCTCAGGGTTTAAGAGCACTTGCTGCTCTTGCAAAGGACTCAGATTCAGTTACCGGTACCCACACAGCAGCTTACAAGGATTCAGGGGTTCCCTCACCCTCTTCTGACATCTAGAGGCACTGCCCAAACATGGTGCACACACAATACACACAGCAAAAAACATTTTTTTTTTTTTTTTTTTTTTAAAGAAAGGCAGATGCAGATGCAGGGCCTTTGATCCAAGAACATTAGCAACGTAAGTCTATGTTACTACAACTTCGGAACAAGGCTTGCTACTAGTCAAGAGCATCCTGGGAACTCTATGCAGGTGCACAAAGATCAGTTGACTAGAAAGAGTGGGAGATATCTTGAGGCTAAATTCATTAAGACTTACCAAGAAAAAAGAAAAAGGAAAGAGAGAGAGATAAAGAAAGAGAGGAAAGAGAGAGAAAAAGAAAGAAAGAAAGAAAGAAAGAAAGAAAGAAAGAAAGAAAGAAAGAAAGAAAGA